TTCAATGGCAAATCAGGCGACTCGTCATTAAAGTAAATAGGATGCGACCGGATTTGTCACGATGCGAAATCGGTCAGGACTCGAAAATCTTCGACTAATGGGTAAATCGGACCCTCTCATTGGCTCCTATTCCATGTCCAGCTAAGCAGGATTCAAGTTCTCTTTACGGTAACCTGTCACACCCGAAGTGCAGGCCAGGTCATGTGTGTGGACAGTGCAGAGGGTCTGTCCAAAGTTGTTTGTCTTCATCGTCCGCTTATCAAGACAAGGCGGGCGGAAGAGACGAGAGTGCGATAGATGCTGAAAGCGCAAGTCATCGCTTCTGGGACCATCGTTGTTTGTGACGGTAGCACTCTTATCGTAACTCTGTCCATGTGCTTTAGAAAAATAACCACAAATCAAGTATGCAACTTTCAGTAGAGTTCTCACGAGAGCTGAAGCTAACTGATATTGTTCCATGGTAGCTAGGCCCTAGATTTAGTCTCACGCACGTCTGCTACCGTAATTCTGATTCCATCTGCGACTGTCTTAGGTACTGACGGAGCTGAAGACTGAGAGTTCATATTAGGCCTTGTGTAACGGTAGAGGGTCTTCTCTTAATTAAAACAATATCGGTATCTAAAGGTTCGCTCTGCGCATTTAATAGCACGTGAATCCGTCCTAATACAACGACCTAAGACGCAAATCAGCGCTCCGGTCGGGCTAGAAGAACCGGTTGTAACTGAAGTTTGTAAGTGCTATTTTTCTGTTATTAAATAGACAATGAAACTAGGGGGAGAACGATCCAAGCGGCGTGAGAGCTCACGAAGTGTCTTTCTTTGTCGTTTTTGTGCATTGCAGTTTCCAGAGGCTTAGTTTAGCAAGAAGCCTCGTTTAAACGTAAAATCATCACAGCCCCGGGGTTAAACTGACCTTCATGCCGGGCAGTCCTCTCTCACCGTCGTCGCCACGAAGTCCGAAGAATCCGTCCACACCTCGTCTGCCCTCATCGCCGGGTTCCCCGGGGAAACCCTGTTGACCCTGGGGACCTGTGGAACCAATACCAGGACGACCGCGTTCACCCACTTTACCAACCTTGCCGTCGAGGCCTGGAAGTCCTTTCTCACCGGCAGGACCCATGCTCCCGGAAGGACCCGGCTGTCCTTTCAACCCGGCGACTGCTCTTCCAGGGAAGCCTTTCTGGCCCTTGTCGCCCTGGAAGCCGGTTTCCCCGACCGGTCCTGGGGTAAAGAAGTCATCTGATACAGGCGGTGCCACAGGGATATGTGTGCTCTCAGCAAATAATACTGAAGCCTAACTGAATGTATAGATTTTGAGAGGTTCTTCCTCCGTTTCCATCAGGACGGTAGCTAAAGACACTGTTATTACTAAAAAACTGACTGGAAATAAGACGACTAGGACAAATATAGCAGGAACGGTCACAGTTAGCGCTTAATGTGCTCTGTCTCGTTCCCGACTCAGTACTCCTCGAGTCAAGGGAAATTAGTTAAAAGGTCGGTCTCTGCAACCCGGCTCCCACGTCGTCTGCCACTTGCTAGAGTTACGGATCGGATTTCGGTGGCTGTAGCCCAAAGACGGTCAGGTGTGAAGATAAAACTAAACAAACCGACAAAGAGAGGAGTCATTTATTACGTTCCCTGGCGCAGTTCTCCTTGGCGTTGGTAAGAACGGGTCATGCAATTATAGTCACCATTTAAACAGTCAGATGGAAAACGCAGGCTAACGGAAGACGTGTACAACAACAACAAGACCCAGGTCGAACACGATGGCAATCGCAGTTACCCGACGATTATATATATTTAGAAAGATGAAGTTCTTTGGGAAACAGCAAAATTTTATTGTGAATTTTCGAGACTGGTTCCCCAGCTCGTCTTCAGACAATGGGTGTGCAAAAACAA